GCGACTGAGGAGGGCGGCTGAGGAGGGCGGCTCGCTGAGGGGGGCGGCTGAGGGGGGCGGCTCGCTGAGGAGGGCGGCTGAGGGGGGCGGCTCGCTGAGGGGGGCGCCGTCCTGTGGAGGGCACCGGGCGGTCCTTGGTGGTGGCAAAGAAACACCTGCTTTATACAGGGATACGGCCCGTTCTGCTCTGCATAAGGCTACCTTGCGGAGGGGGGCTTCCCTCAGCGGGAAACCACGCAAGTCCTGCGTTGTGTTTAACCATGTTTTTACCCAGGCCGCTGGAATAAGGAAGGTTTAAAGGGCTTTATTTAGCTCTGGGGGAGCTGAAACTCAGTACCCGCTGCACAGCTAACGGGGTGCTACGCTCTCCTTTGCCTCATGTGTGGTGCATTTTGTCTTCATCTACTGTTTTCATTGTCAGGGACAAAAAAATGATAGGCCTTCTGTAGAAAGCTGCCCTTTCCAAGTACCCAGAAAACAGGGTCAGCTGGTGTCCAATACCTGCACTGAGCTCTGTGTGTTTCCCCCTGTGTGACAGCAGAAGGTGAGACACAGGTTACCAACCCTAGTCTCACTTTGTTCCCTTGCACAGTTTGGAAACGTGTTGTTTTGTTTTTTTTTCCAGAAGTAGGATGCAAATAGTCAAACAAAAGACTAATTCACTTTTCTGCTTTGTCTCCCTCCAGACATAATTTCATTAGAATTAAACTACCTTACCCCAATGAATGAAAACATAAGCCACAGATTATATTCCACAATGAATTTGTCCACAACCCATTTTATTAAAATTCCTCTCTTTGTTGTTCAAGGTCCTCAAGAAGGAATGCGTGTACTGTGTGAGCCTCACTTTATATACTCAGAGGATTAATTGAAGAACATGATGGAAGGAAGGGGAAAGTGTGAGTAAAATAACTCGTTTATATTTGTATCCTCAAATGTCAGTTCATTACCAAAGTTAGAAACCAGCTGATACAGAAAACTCATTATGGCCTCATTCAGAATGCTTATTTCTTGACAAAGAATAGCCTTGCTTGGCTTACTTGTCCAACAGAAATATGCCCTGTTTTACAGTATGCTTTGGGATGTGAACTAAAGAGGGTTTTCTTTAGGGTGCACTACATTTAATACTCTATTTATCTTGTTCATCTACATTTATTTAAATCCCAAAGGAGTGAGGACTGTCACTGCTCTCTGTTCTCAATACTTCTGTCCATGCTTGAGTGCCATTATTTGCAGTTTTTACAAGCTTTGGTTATTTATTTGACAGCATACAAGTCAGACAAAATGAAGTGGTCGGGGAAGTCATGTCTAGAGTCCTTTGCACAAAAGTCCAGTTTTCTGGTGATTTTAGTGCTTGTAACTGTGTCCGGTTAGCAGTTAGCTGACCTGGATCTCGCTGCAGCCAGGGCGCAGTAAGCCTTGTCTGGGAGCGAGACAGATGTACGGTGCCTGGGACAGCCCCATGTGCCTGCTCTGCTGGCCAGCAGGCTCTGTCTGTGCCGGCTGGGGCACTTGTGTCACAGAGCTCTGCAGAAATCTCTAGGTTCTGTATGAATCCACAGGTAATTTGTAATGTCCCCCTTGCCCCGCAGCAAACAAGAAGGTGTAATTTGAGTGATTTGACTCAGAAGGAAACTCTGCAAGTAAAGCATCCCACAAATTCGAAGTAACCCAGGCTGTTAGGGATAGTGAAAAAATAACAGCATCTGGCTGGGACACAGCCCTGGCTGCAAAAGCCCGTGTGTGGGGAAGGTGGGATGTGTTGGTTGGTATTCCTTGCTTTATTTCCCTGGCACTGACAGCATCTCGTCCACGAAGTGCATCTATGCCATTAGAAACCATCATGAGAAATTTTGAAGAATACATTAAAAAACAGCGTAATAAAAATAATTTTTAAAAAAGTGCTGTTGCCAGATAAACTTGAAAGCTTTTTGGGTGGGATTTTATTGCCAGTGGGCCAGACCGTGTCATTTGTAGGCACTTTGAGTTGTTCCTTTCTGTACAGCAAATCCCGTGGGTACGGTGTCCTTATGAAATGAAATCTGGAGCTTAGACCACTAACAAATGTAGATGTCCCCGGGAATCGGTGTCTCCATCCAGGCCAAGCCTGCTGTCCACGTGCGTGTTGACGAACTCATTCTAGAAGTGAATTTTATTATCTTTATCAATTTTCCCGAAATCTGGCTGCTCCTATTTCCCACCTTGCGTAAAATCTCTTCGGCTCGGTACTGCATCCTTCAGGTCCCGAACGGGGAGCTGAGAGCTGCTCCGCGTGTGCCGTCAGCAGGTCGGCCCCGCCGTGCCAGCACAGCGCTGCCCGGCGCTGCTCGCGGCTCCACGGAGGCATCGCTCCCTCCGGGGCCCGCTCCGCTCCGCTCCGCTCCGCTCGGCGCCCGGCCTGCCGGATCCCCCGACACCCGCCGAGCGCCGCAGGTGCGGCGCCTTTAAGACGGGGGCCCGGGTGGCGGGCGGGGCCCGGGGGGCGGGCGGGGCCCGGGGGGCGGGCGCGTCCCGGGGGGCGGGCGGGGCCCGGGGGGCGGGCGGGGCCCGGGGGGCGGGCGCGTCCCGGGGGGCGGGCGGGGCCCGGGGGGCGGGCGGGGCCCGGGGGGCGGGCGGGGCCCGGGGGGCGGGCGGGGCCCGGGGGGCGGGCGGGGCCCGGGGGGCGGGCGGGGCCCGGGGGGCGGGCGGGGCCCGGGTGGCGGGCGCGTCACGGGCCGGGCGGGGCCGCGCCCGCCGCCGCTCGGAGCCGCCGCGCAGCGCCCGCTGCCGCCGGGGGGGCGGGGGCCGCGGGCTCCGGCGCTCCGCAGCAGCCGGGGACCATGCGAGGGGTTAGTTGCTCGTAGGTAGGTGTTTCTGCCTTGCTTCCCCCGCCCCCAGCCAGAGCTGACGATGCGGTGCAGGCGAGCGGGCGCGGGGGTGCCCGTGAGGTGGTGCGCGGGTGTCACGGCCCCGGTGGGGCCGCGGGCAGGGCAGCCCCGGGGGCTCCGCGGGACGTGCCCGCCCCGAGCCCGGGGGCGCCGGGAGCTGCGCGGCCGCGGTGCGTGGGCGAGCGGCAGGTAGTGTGGGTGTCACCGGCAGTCACCTCAGGTGAACCGAGAAGTGATTCGGGGCAAGACTTGGAGCTGTTCGGTCAGCGCTGCAGGAAGCATCTTTTCGATTAGTTACTGTTTTCTTGGTGCTTTAATAAAGGATACCTTTTTTTTTAACAACAGTGTTAATTGCTCTTCTCTATTTTTGCAAAGTTTTAGCTGAAGAGCGTGATTTCCCTGTTATGTACTTCCCAGAGCTTGTGCCGTTTCGCTGGCATCCATTAATGCTGCACAGTGAGAACATCCTGAGTCCTTGGTCAGTTCTCTGGTGCTCTCTGAAACAGAAATGGCTTACTTGAGAACAGAAAGGAAAGGCTCGGGTCGTTTCTGCATGTTTTGTGGAGTGGTGGAAAAAGCTACGTGGTGAAAGTACTCCAGCACGCTGTGAGGAGGGAAATTAACTGCATTTTCTCTTGTGTCCTTCATGTGCTCCTTCCCTTTTTGGAGTTTGGTATACTATACTTATAAAAGAAGCTAGTGCAGGAAGGATGTATCGATAAGATACTGATGATAGATACCTCAGGAGTTTGGTGCTCAATTAGTAATTTTGCTTACCCGTTTTATGTTTGAGATGAGCAAAAATGACTGTGCTCATCTGTATCCCAGAGTCCCCATTCGTAAGGCCAGGCTATGATTTCCAAACCTCTCTAAGGATAAGATCGTGTGTCTGTCTGGACTCCTCACAGGCTGACTCGAGGCCTATTAAGCTGTCTTGATACGCAGCTATGTATTGTAGGTCAATCTCCATGTACATGAATATGTAATTTGATCAAAATTTTAACACTTTTAAAAAGGATCAAATTCCTTGATTTTCAGGCAATAAATATTTTTTGTGTTTGAAGCACGGGTCAACTTTTTTCTAGTTCATTAGCTCCTGTTGGCTTTGCCAAGCTTCTGAGAAAATCAGTCTTTGACAGCACTATTGCTCTCAGGTGGAAACATGCTTGTGTCCCTGTAGAATACTTGTTTCTGTTACGTTATGTTGCTCTTGTCATACTAGCAATAATTAAACACTGCTTTTTTTCCCTCCCTATTAATCAGTTGCTGAGGTAAAGGAAGCCTCTATCCTCCCCATGCTAATTGTTGACATGGAAAACAAGGAAAATGGCTCTCTGGATGTCAAAAAGTAAGTGAATTCATAGTGCTCCTTTCCTGTAAACCGCACATGGATTTTGAATGTAGTTTTCCTTTGACCTAATGTGATTGGCAACTGTGGGCGTCTCCATCTTTGTTCATTTCAAACCTTCTCTGTTCTAAACTATTTTTATTGTATTTCAACTTTGAAATAGAAGAGTCTAGGGCACTGAGTTACTTAGGAGAGATGTGCAGAAAGGCTGTATAGCAGTGGAGGGATGTAGAAGCTGGTAACTTGAGTTAAGGGTACACCTTCCTCCATTAATTTTTTTCCTCTCAACTAGAGAAACTGGTAGTACTGTAACCACCATTCTGCCTCTGCTCCCCTGCCTGCAGAGCCAGTGCCTAATGGAGAGAAGTGTCCTGTGTGGAAATCTGCATTCTGTCTCATTCAGAAGCACATATGCCCTGCTCTGCTGTCAGCCCACCTGTCTGGTGGCTGAGAAGTAGCAGCAGCATATCACTTCAGTGTCAGTTCTCTTCTGAAACAGCTATTTTAAGCTGTTTCTTGGAGAAGCCCTAAACTGCTGGGTTTTTACTTCAGACCTAGGGTGGGAATAAGACAGAGATACGGTGTGCACCACTCTACTGTTTTCTTTTGTCTGGTAAACTGCAGGTTAAGGGATAGGTGCTGCTTTGTAGGCATTTACTTATCCTTAAAGGTCAGAAACTCTTAGATTAGGACTAGCAATTTTGAATAAAGCCATGATCTGAGAAGTGAAGTTCTGTGTGGAAAAATCTGGCCTTGCTGTTTTATGGTTATAGAAGCCATGCTGAGATAGATGTACACATATGCATATATATTAAAAGAAAAAACAACCAAGCAAACAAACAACAAACCACAAAGAAAGGTACTAGAGTGAGTTCTTTGTCTGTCCTCTCGAACTGCAGCACTTCTGCGCAGCTGCAGCTCATTCTTCTCCTTCAGATCCCTTTACATAAGCCATCCAAGAAAACATGACAATGCTTAGGCTACCAGGCACTAGAGTAATATAAATAATAATAATAATAATAATGGTCACTTCAGGATGCTGATAAAACACCTGATTATGACACAGCATCAAAAGATCTGATGGCAGCCATTAAAATCAGCATCCTGCCCCTTCACTTGAGATGCTGGCTGTACCACACCAACATAAAGAGCATTTTCCTATTCAGTGACTATGAATAGATTATCGTATATGTCCCTCAGAAGCCACCTTCAGCTGACAGTCTGGCTTCTACAATGAGTACTCTGGTGGGAGGAGGGTGGCAGTCAGTGCAAGGACAGTTCACATTTAATCATTTTCCCTGAGGCTTCAGTGAAAAAGGCTCAAATACTGATTGCTGAAGTGGCTTTGTAGAATGGATGGGAAATGTAATTAAACTGATCAGGGCTGTGGTTTCTAGATGAATGTATATAGTATGTTTGTGTGCTTATCTACAAAGGAAGTATTTGACACTTTGTTGAAGTGGTTATAAATAGCTTGGATAAAATCTGTTTGTTCTCAGCTATGGCTTCTCAGACCTTGCTGCTTCTGCCACATGATGGCAATAAAGGCACAGGGACACTGGTGAAAAGCAGACAAGCCAAATCTTTATTCATTGCCAGTGCATCTAGTATCTCATGTCAAAGCCTAAAATGCCAGTCCTCTTGAATCCTTTTGCAGCACCCAGAATGTCAGGCATAAAGCAGTGTATGGCCAAGCTGTGGGTGTTATATATTCGCTTTCCTTGCTTAAAGAATAGAGCCATGGCAGCAGCAGGGCAAGGAGGAGACTAAAAAAGTTACAAGCCAAATGAGCATCTGTGTGGGTAGATGGGTTAAAATCCAGCCAGCCTCCAGCAGTCTGCCACATGCCTTCCAGTCCTCTGCAGCTGTAGCTGTGGAAATTGGCTCCACCTGAGGTCCAGCACGATGCTATTCCTTGAGGAAGGAACTTGCAATTATTTCCTGCAGTTAGTTAATGGCAGAGATAGAGCCCCTGAAGTTATTGCAGTTGGGCCTGAGATGAGGTTGGACCAAGCTGTTGTTCCCTAGCTACCAAAAATCCCAACACACATGGGCTGATAAAAAACTGTGGGAAGGAGGGTTTGGGACTGTATTTAACTTGAAATTAAAATGTTTGGAGAAGCAAGCAAATTATAGTTAGGACGTATTTTTACGGATTGGACCTTTTACTTGCTGTTTAGGAAGGATTAAGTTCTGTATCTCTTAGAGTTTTTTCTAATAATGAATTGTTGGGGTTTCGTTTGTCTATTTTTAAGTAAAGATGAGTCACTGGAAGTGATAGGTTATAACGTAGCGAAAATGCAAAGATTTAAATATAATTCTTCAAATGCTGCTTTTATAAATATGTGTAGATTTTATGTGGTACTTTTCCCATTTTACTCTAGGCTTCAGAATGTACACAACAGTGAAATTTTTTAAGAGAAAGGCATTTTTTGGCTTAAAAAAAAAAACAAAAAGAAAAAAAAATGCAGCTCTGATAAGACCAGATAGTCCCATTTTCAATTTTGCTGAGTGTTGCTTTCTGTGTAATCACAATTAGTGAAGCAATTCAAGAAGTAAGTCATTATGTGATGAGCAAAAGTAAGAAACTGGTCCTTTGCTTATTGCTCTAAGTGAAAGAAACTGCTTCTGGAAACCCTAGTGCAGCATAGGCTGTGGATGAGTCCCTACAGTCAGATTTTGTTACCAGATTGACTGGTACATTTCAAGAGTTAGGGGAGACACAAAAACCATTGTTTTCATGAGTCCTCCTTCCCAGGCCTCAGAAAGTTGTAGAAATTGGGATGTTGTAGAAACAGTGATAGGAGGCACTCTATGAGATTCTGTTTGGCTGGTTTGAAAAATGGTTGGCCCTTTATTGGCCCCCCTGTTATTTTGCTGAAAGACATCCAAGTCCAGGCAAGGCAGAGGTGGTGACAGCTGGAAAAGAAAAACTTGGAGGACAGAACAAAAATGGTGTCAGCAAAGCATAATCTGCATATCTTTCCCAGCCGGTGCTGTTGAAATCAAAGTCCTGTTGCTCAGCTTCAGACCTGAAATGGACAGGATTCTGACCTCTGTCCTGAGCTGTACATTTTCCATCTTTCTTCATTAGTGTTAGGATTAAGGATGCAGAACAACGAGAAGTGTTTGGCGTGAACTTCAGGACTCTCAGCTGGAGAAACATGTTAAAGAAGCTCTTTGATGTCTTGTTCTTCATCCTCGTAAATCCCAATAGGAAAGGCAATCAAGCTCACTGTGTGTCTTTTACCAAGAATTTTCAGATACACAAAGGTTATCTTTGTGATATGGTGATTCCAGTTTGAGGAAAAGAAAGGCAGAATAGGGATAGTAATATGAATGTTTGGTTGGTTTTGCTGCTGTGGAAAACAATTGCGTGAGGTTAATCACAGAAGGAATTAATTCTGATTGCACTGAACAGATGTTTTCTCAGATTCATAGTTATTTAAAAAGTCCATATATTTGTCTGAGTCCACAAACAGATTTGGGAGATTTTCTATATTAAGAATAAGTGCAATCATTTGGTGCCTCTTTTTTGTTTTGTTAGGTGTTTGTTTTGTTTTTGGGTGGGGGGGTGGTAGTGGTGATGTTTGTGTTTGTTTATTTGTTGTTGTTGTTATTTTTACAAGGTAAAGATGGTTACCAGTAATTTCTAGGCACCTTACAAGGAAGCACAGTCTCATCTGGGAAAAGAATAATGGACACACAATTCTTTAGGTACTTGGTAGCTGAAAACAAGCTGAGGGCTTGAAAGACAGGAATTTGGATCCTCAGTTATGGCAGTCTTCATTTTCCAACAACAAAGGCAGCACACTTGTAGGAAGATCCTGACTGATTACCTTTGGCTGATGTGAAGATTCATATAATTTTTTTCTTTTCTGAAGGGAGAGGTACCTCAGTTGTCCCCAGCATTAGGTCTTTGAAATGGAAAAGGAGTGACTGTTCTGTATCAGGGCAGAGGGAGTTGCGTCAAAGAATACTTTTCCTGAAGAAACAAGGAGGGAGGGGATGTATGTGGGGTGTACACAAGGAAGCAGCAGATGTTCTGCACGCATTTAGTGATTACTTGTCTGGATTTTCACTTTGCAGTCCAGTAGAGAACGGGAGACCTCCAGATCCTGCTGACTGGGCTGTTACCGATGTTGTGAATTATTTCAGAACAGCTGGATTTGAAGAACAAGCCAGTGCTTTTCAAGAACAGGTAAACCTGTTATCAAACGCCTTCTGATTGCCACAAGTTTCTCATGTTGCATGTTTTTGCCACAGGCCTGACTATATACTGTAAAATGGGAGTGAAAATCTCACATTAATGGGGGGATTTGAGTCTGTTATTGGATGGCAATCCATGGGACTGTGAACTTTGAGTAATAATATTTTTCTGCAAGCTGTGGCTAATGAGTTGGGGCTTGTTTAAAATAGTCATTAGAAAGGTGAGAAATCTAAGCAAATTTTCCATCTTGAACTCAGTTTCCCTGTACAACCCATTCAGTGTCACTGTCTTGAATAGTGAAGAGTACTTCCCTTCTTTCTTAGTGTATTGTGCAAGTACACTCATGAGTATTTATAAAACACAGGGCTCCTAAGAAACAGGTTGTTCCTGAAGGCCTAGGATGAAAAAGGGGCTGCTGTGTTACAGTGAACTTGGCAGTACAAGTGAACAGGGATAGGAAACTTGATTCAGTACAAGGGAAAGGATGAGTGGGTAGGGGAGCATTGCGTTCGTACGACCCTCTGAGAAAGAGGTTAGGTCTTTGTTTCTGGGCCTTGTAGCTGCTGATGCTGATGGATGACTTCCGGTAGATTTGACCAGCAAAGAGCTTAACAATCAGGTGGCCCCTTGTCATTCACCTGCCAGCAAACTGGTAAAGGGAGCGGAATAGGGAAGTCAGCTTGCTTGGCCTACAGCCCACCTGTTCCACAGGGGAGTAACTTACATCTCCAGATTGTCAGTTCAGCACCTTTCCTGATAAATCTGTAGGTTTAAGTGCAGCTACAAGGAAATTAGTCACCAACATTTGTCCTTACTTATCAAAAGAGATGGCTTGACCTTCCAAGGCAATGGGCTAGTGCAAGTTACTTGGCAGCTTTGCAGAGACACTGGGCATCTCATATGAAATAACATCATTGGTCAGGGTAATGTTGCTGGCCTTCAGCACCATGTCTGTTGGATCCCATCTGATTGTAACTGATGAATATAATGAATTATCTTTTGTATATTTGTTCTTGGCGTTGAAAAGCCTGCTATTGGGTGATTCTCTGGCAAGTTGCAGACGAAGGTTCCTTCTGCAGCTGCTACTCATTTTTCAGAATTTGAAGATGGGTAAACAGACCAAAAAAGAAAATGTTTAAGTGTGTCCATTCCTTAATACCAGCATCCATATCTCCTCAACAGCCCTGGAAATGTGGCTTAAAAACCCACATGGACAAAGTAGTTGTGGCCTCTGGGAGTTTTTTTATCTTGTACTGACAAATACTTCTGACTTTCATCAAATATCTTAACCTCTCTGCACCTCAGCTGGCTCGTCAATAATACTGCAGTAATTACTACTGATCTTTCATCAGCAGGGTGAGGCTAACTCACGAGTTTTGGCAAAGCAATTTGCAACAGCCTTATGGAAAACAGCGTGGAAGTAGAGTGTAAAGGTTTTGCTAGTATTCTGCAGTGAGGGCAAGTGGTTTCAGTAGGGTAACTGAGGACTCTGCTAGGATAGGCATGTGCAGAAATGTGGCTGTGATTCCACTGCCAATGTCACTTTATGCTAAAGCCTTGAAGAGAGAGGCGGACAGCTGCCACCAGGATGTGGCCAGGAGCTGTGGCATGGACAGTCACTGCAGAAATCACTGCCACTTCTTTGCCCCTCCTTTCCATTAGCAGCACAAGGAGCAGCAAGTACCTGTTTGTGCATGCTCTACCAGCCTGTTCCCTGTCTGGATCAGAAACAGGTCCATAAACAATCCTATCCCTAAACTCTTACCAGTGGTGGTGTTCAGTTTCTTCTACACTATTTATTAGCCACTGACTGTAACTCTGTCTTCTTATGGTATCTGTTGTCAGGATCTTCCAGGTATGGCAGTGCAGACAGGTTCACTGTGATTCCCAGCCATCCTCTGTCTATGGAGCACCAGTCATGCAGCTGAAGTTTTGGCCATCTGTGTTTTCCTCTGCCATTTGCAGTTTGTGTGGGCCCCTAGAAACCAGATCTGCTACTGCCCTGAATATGTACTGGAAAAGGAATGAGGTTGTAAGTGGTAAAGGAAAGTATTCAGTGTCACCTACAACACTGGAAAATTGTTTTCCACTGAACTGCTTTGGTAGGGGTAGCACAATGGTTTCCTTACAGAACACCCATAGCCTAGAATGTAATCTGTTAGTACGTTCAGCTTTTACACAACAGTAGCAGAGTCCACACTTTCTTTTGATGAATCTGAATACATCTGGACTTGCCTAAAACAAGTGACTCGAAAAATTTTTAAGACCTGAATTTGTCTTAAAATATTTTAAGGACAATGAGAAGACATTTTAAGGGCTGTGGAATGTTTTATTGAAACTGTATTAAGAAGTGATGATTGTATGATTATTATACCTTATTCCTTCTTGGAGTTTCACTAATGTCAGCAAATCAAAAGTGCTCACTGATGAAAACAGATTCAACTCAAAGATATTGCCCAATAATAAAAAACCATAACATAAGCAAGCAAATCAGGCGAGCCAAGAAGTTTGGTACAGAGGATACCTAAAGAGGGGGGAATACCAGGTGCAGGGTGAGGGTGTGAACACCTTCAAAGAAATGCTGCCTGCCAGCATGTGGCTGAGCTTTCTCTAGGAGGCCTGGGAGCACAGGGGGCTGTAGCTCACTCCAAGACTGAAACTGTTTGCAAAGTCTCAAGATATGCAAGTGCTGTGACCTTTGTTATTGCCCATGTGGCTTCTTAACCATTAGTGCTGTGATAGCCACATTAGCCCAGTGCTCGTTTCCTGGCCTCGCTGCAGCCCATACCAGAAGGGAATCTGGGGTGTGATACCAGCTTGTGTCCACTGCTGCTTTCCAGCAGAGCCAAGGCATGGAGGAGCACGTGGACGTGCTGGATGCCATGCTTTCATGTTGCCTGTGCTGTAAAACCTTGCAGTTCTCAGAAAGGGCAGAAGGAGTGGTGGGAGGACTTGAAGCTTAACCAGTCCTCTGGTTATTTGCTGAAGACAATATTCAACTGCTGTTGAGGTCATTCAGGCACAGTGGGAAATTACTGTTAGCTCTAATTGTGCAGAGGTGTCTCTCTGCAGGTAACAAAAAAAAAGGCATACTGAAAACTAGCACTGAAGTTGCATCCCCCCCAAAAAATACAGAAAATAGAGAAGTAGTAGAGAAGAAATCAGAGAAGTCACCAAAGCATACAAAATCTTACCTGGTGCCAAAAAATGGAGTAACTGTGATGATCCTGCATATTTATGTAGAAACTTAAAGGAAGTGGAAGAGGTAAAACAGTACACACAAAGATAGAAAATGCTTGAACTCTGAATACATAATCACTCATTTCTACCCAGATGTTAAAGAATCAGTTTTCTATTCAATGAAAGCCTTAGTAGTTACCAGCACTTCTAGAAATCACAGGAAACCCTATGGAAGAAGAAGGGGAAGGAATAGATGCTTTTTTTCCTATTCTTGGAGTTTCTCCTGTTCCAGGTACTCGATTTACTTCACTGGGATCCTACCAAGCTGGAGGCTGTTCCTCCTCCATAGCTTCGTTGAACAGCAGCAGAAAAGCAACTTCAGATCGGTCATAGCAATGAGCAAAATACTCACTGGTGTCAAAATTCCCACAGAAAGAATTGTGACGAATGGAAAAGAGAGGATAGAAACTGGTTTTAACCATTAACATTCTCAACAGTAATTGGAAAGAGACCTGCTATAATTGGGTAAAAAGTTATTGGAAACTTTTTTTTTCTTTTAGACATACTGTTACTTTGTGCTCCTCTGAGGGATTAACAGTCATATATATCCTGAGGATATTCTAAAGAAATTCCACTTTCAGTTGATCTTTGACTATATTGTGGTTTGTCCATGTATTTTGTATTTATAAACTTTATCAAATTGTAAGAGAGATCAGTCTGGACAAATTCATGCTGAACTGTAACATAAGTCTTACTCTTTTCATGTTGCCTTGCAATCAAGAATAGGATCTCTAACATTTCCAAGACAACAGTTAATATTCCTAAGGAACATGCTGCAGTTTGATAAATTGATGTGTGATGTTTATAATACTTATAAGAATATAAGTATTGGCAGTATATTAGAGGACAACAACGATATGCCAGCATTTGAATTCATTGTTGGCTATTGATAACAAATTCAGCAGTTAATAGTGGGGGTTTTCTTAATTAGAAGTGAAAAAAGAATGCATCAGCAGAGTGAAGTCCTATGCAGGAGAATGCCAGATAGGGCTGTATACTTCTTTGGGCTGTGATGCCCTGTGAAGGTCTGGCTGTGTTAGGAGACACCAATCAATGCATGTCTGTGTAGCTGCAGCTCCTGTTTCCCGAGTAGTGCAGTGTCACTGAGCTGTAGGAATGTGTAACGAAAAGGATGGTCCCATGTCTAAAATGGAGGAGGGAGTTGAGAGATGTGGATTCTTTCTTTTCCATTTTGACCTTTGAAAAGTCATTTAGAGATAGTTTTCAAACATGTGACAAGGTTTTGAGATGGAAAAAAGTCCCAAAGCCTACAAGATTGCTAACCTAAACACGTCAGAAGGTCAAGGTCTGAGAGAAAAAAATCCCACCATATCTGGGATTTACAAATGATATTTAAGCAGGAAAGTGTAAGGGTTGTTAAGACCTCAGCTGGCAAGTTGCCACTTTTCTTCTCCTTGCTTGTAAGTGGCGGAAGAGAAGTTCCCTCAGAGTGTCAAGCTCCCGTTAGGCCCTTCTAAAATTTCTGACTACAAGAGTCTTCTCCTTGTTTTCCCCCACAAGATGCATGGGAAGGTTGGCCTTTTAAAGAAGGCACCTGAAGTTATTAGCAGATACTGATGAGTCTAAACTTGCATATTGCTGTCAGTAGTAATTCTGAAATGCACTTCATAAGCTGCCTTCTTAAGGGTATCCTTCCCTTAATGGCTGATAATTATGCAATCTGCACTTGTACCTTTTAATTTGAAAGAGGTTTACAAGGAAGGAATTTTGAAATTAGGCTCATTTGAATTTTTTGCTTGACTAAATAGTATTTATACCTTAGTCAGCACAGGTGAGCACTTGAAAAGCAGACAGCAGAATTTAGCAGCTCTAAACATGGTTTCAGAAAAAGAAAGGCTGCTATTTCTTTTCTCACTGATCCTCTGTAGTAGTCTTTTGTTGCATGACTATTCTCATCTGTTAGATTTGTACATTTGTCTTTATCAACTCTTTAATTCTTCTTATAGGAAATTGATGGCAAATCATTACTGTTGATGACAAGAAATGATGTACTGACTGGACTTTCATTAAAACTGGGGCCTGCGCTGAAAATCTATGAATATCACGTAAAACCTCTGCAGACACAACATCTAAAGAACAACTTATTGTAGTAAATTGTCTCATTGGGGTCATGTTGTACCTCAAAGGAAAAATAAGCAATTTGGTTTCATGTGATGGAACTTTGTAAAGAGGGAATATATCTATTAAGAGTTTAAACCAAATTACAATATATATCCTATTGGATAGAGTTGGCAATATACTATATACTGAGTCTGAACTGAGAGAGGTTGTGTGTATTTTTTACATAGTACATAATGATTTTCTCTTTTAGGAAGTGTCAGTGAGCATGTTGAGATAGCTACATCACTGTATCCAGAACAAAAGGGAGGTATGTCATTCTCATTTTTGAGCCAGACAAGTTCTTGATTTCATTAATTGAAATACAAACAACAACAACACCAAAACAAAACAAAAAAACCCACCCAAAACACAAAAAAACCCACCAAAACCAACACCCCCCCCCCAAAAAAAAACCAACCACAAAACCAACCCCAAATAAAGTTTTCATGCATCTTTAGGAGAGAGAAACTAGTTAAAGTAGGTTTTGATTTACACTGAAGACCTATTATTATTACTACTCTTAATTTTAGGATGGGACTGACACTTGCCAAGTCACCCTTTTTTGCAGAGGGTCCTATTTTGACCTTATTAAGGTTTTCTTGTGGTATGCTGCAATGTTTAAAGCTGTACATACAACTAACATAACTCCTTCGATAGCGGAAGGTGTTGCTAACAGGTGAAACTGGGTTGTGTATTTTTTGCTGTTCTTTAAATTTTCAACTTGTTTTCACCTGTTTTTAATAGTAGTCCAGTGTAAAATATAGTTGGGTTTTGAAGGTTTGTGTTCCTTTGCAAACAACAACAAAAAAAGCTTAATTTTATTCCTTTTTTAATTTATGATTGTTTTCTAACATGCAGAAATTTGTAAAAAGTAAAATTCTGCACATTTTTAATACTGTCTGTCTTTGGTGTTGTATTGATTGGGGTTTTTTTAATGCTTTACTTAACAGTTTGAATACTTGTTTTAAGAACTGAAAGAAGCTGTCTCATCACCATATATCTCTGTTAAAAGAGAGTCTTGTTCAATCTGTTTGTACCAGTTCCCTATTTGATAGGTTGCTTGCTATATCCCAATAAAACATTGCTTATGTTTGGATTCAGTTTACTTTACAGATCTTATACTTTCTCTCTTTCTTGGTTGTGGTATATTGGAGCTCCTGTTTTTCTCCGTTTTCCTATTAAAAAGGTACCAAAATCTATTTAATATTTTATGTTCTTGTGATTACTTTTAACATCAGCTACCATGATATTTAAAGATTTAATTATTTTTGCTTTTTCTTATCTGGTGTTACATACTGCTGAAGGAGAAGCCCTGGTCACAGTTCACCGGTAGCACCTGGGCTTCCCTTATCCCTGTCAGAGAAGCAGAGCTGCTGTGCTAGCCCTGGTGCACAGGGTGATTTGATTTACCCCACAGCATCTGGGAGACAGCCCAGGGGTGGTGCTAAGCCCTGTCTGGGCTCACCATCATCTCTGGCCCAGAGAGCGTTGTGGTAACCCCCGAAACTGGAATGTGGGGATGTATCGGTGAGGCTTAGCCAAGGAACCAGGGAGTAGGAAACAAGCATAAGAGTGTGGTGCAAGTGGAAATAGTGTGGGAGGAAATGGTGAGGGGGTGACGCTGAGAAAGGAGAAGAGTGCTGCTTTCTGCCAAGGGGGGAGAGGATTCAGGGAGAGGAAAGAAGAGCTCCTGTAGTCCCCTGCTTAGGTGGTGGCCCTGTCTTCACTCTGACTTGGCCAAGGGCGAGGTGGATGTTCATGCTACAGTGCTGAGAGAGTTGCTTATGGTTTCTGGTGTTGACATTTGAGAAGGGATAAAGCCATTAACATAACTATGCCATAGGTAAAGCTCATGGTATATGCTATAATGCATAAAGTATATACAGCAGCATGCTTTCTTGTATACTTTCAACCCTTTACATTGTACAGCATAATTATTTGGAATCTGAGATAATAAGATGGAGATGTATTGACCATTCTTTTTCTGTCCCTTGTTACTTCAGGTATTGGTCTCTTAGCAGCAGGTTTGTAAGTCACCGTCTGAATTCTGCTTATGATTTTGTTTATAATTGGTAGTGTCCAGAGGTACCTACTGGGAGTGAGGATCTTCTGCAAGACTAGATTCAAATGGAGATCATCATTGCTACCTTGGGAAGTTTTGAGGTATAGTCTGTATCAGGCTAATTGTGGGCTGTAATTGAAAAATTATATATAAAACTCCTAAATATTTTAATATAGAATTAGGTCTGTTTATGAAAAGGATTATGAAAAGCTGCATGTAGCAGTCTGCACATGCCTACCAGACTTGTATTTGTAGAATTGTTTTTGGATGAGAATACTTAGTGCTGTGTTACTGAAGGATTCATTGAATATTCTCTTCTTCTCAATTTGCATGTTTGGTGTGGGATCGACATACTTTGTGGATCTATGGATGACATAGAATTAAAAGTAAAACATATTTATTCTATGAGGGAGTAAAAATCTCTTCTGTGCAGACGTGAGAGTGCATTTGATGATTACTGAGCACAGTTTTTCCTTTTAATATGTTTTAATGAGCAAATGAATTGCATTCAGAAACATCCAGATGGTATTCCCCTTTTCCTCAGCACCACTGAGTCACACAAATAAAGGCGTAACAGAAAGCTTGCTGCGAGTGCCAGAGGGAATTTACAGGATGTTGCTGAAAACTGTGACAATTTTTTTACTATCCTTGATCTTTATTGTAGTTTCCTACAGTTCTCTGAGCTTTCTAATGCTGCTGTTCCCTTTGTGCAGGTGACCGTTCTGGTCTTACATTCTTCTTGCTGTTTCTGGGAGAACAAAAAAGAATCTTTTTAAAAGAGACTGGAGGGTTTGAAAGAGGAAGTCAAAACCAGATTATTTTTAGCTACCATTCCTCTCGCAGAAAACACAGCTGCTGTTGAGATGAGGAAGCAACTGATAGGCATTACTTGGATACCATGTCAGTACTGCAGCTCTGAGTCGCAGAGCTATGCAGGAATCCAATTTATAACGTGCCCTTAAATGTGCCAGCAGCTGGGAGAGTCCCTCTTCCTTAAAAGCCCTCTCTGTGCTTTGGGTGATGGTTAAGCTGCCCGGTAGGACTGCTCAGCTGATACTGAGCGTGACAATGGTCTTTGCTTTCACCCCGAACCACAATTCAGAGAGTGCCCTCCTCCTGGAGGCAGCTTTAAGGAGCAAAGCAGCAGTGAGCTGCCCTGCTCTGCTGCGGGTCAGCACAAAAACGGAGCCATGCTGCAGCCAAGGGCCTCCTCTCCCCTGTTCTTCCTCTTGCCTGTTGCATAATACGAGCACTGCATGTCTATTGCAGTCTCTCATGCACTTTACTAAATTATCTGAAAGCATTACAGTATGCTTTCTCTGATATGATGGTTGTGAAATATATACTGGTATTGTTCATTAGCTCTGGTCACCCTCCTCTCGAGCTGTAAATACACAATGCATGGCATATTCTCTTCGCACCCAAACATAGTGCCGAGTGCCACACGTAAGAGCACACAAAGACAACAGTCAGCAAAGTATGGGGTCTGTGGCTGTGCTTGTCCACCCAGATCACTTCCTCAACCCAGAGAAAATTGTTCTGACTACATGCTGCTGTCTCCCATCCCTGCATGTTATATTGCTCCTAGTTTGTTCTCATGTGCTGCACTTTATCAATTTGTAGAAAATTCTTTGCTTCTATAATTATAGGACAAGATTTAGCAGCTGTAATGAAGGGAGTAGCCACCTGTGGATCACTCCTGGTTAAAAATGGCCCAGGCAAAAGGTCTCATTAGGCCCTCACTTTCAGTGATTACTTGCTAAATAACCTTTCCGTCTTTTCAATGCTTTTTCCTACATGTTCATATTCTACCCGATCCTTTCTCTCTTCCTTCTTTTAAAAATCAGCATTTAATTGATGTGTTATCTTCAACACTCTTACTTTCTACTGTCACATTTAAGTTAGAATCACAGTTAATTTAAAATCAGAGGGTCATACTTTCTGTGAGTCTGGGATAAGCTACAAAATGATTTCTCATTTTTAATGGTAGTGTTGTCTAAAATTTGAAAGCTGAGTTCGAGTAGGACCAGAAAAACATTACCTCACTTTGCCTCTATTCTGGTTCTTTGCTTCCAAGTCAGAACAGTAGTGCCTTCCCTTCCAGGAATGGCTTTTGGCCCAAAAGTCATGTGGGGAATTAAAGGACTGTAACTGTGCATGTGAACAGCCAATGATGGATTGGCTCAGTCAGCAGTGGGATAGAGAAGGGTCTGCTCTAAACTTTCCTTCAGGGACAATTTACATAGGCAGTGGGGTGGCTTCTGCTTCATCTAGTGAGATGACTTGGGGCTTGGGGATGTCAGCCAAGAGAGCTTATCCATATCCCATTCCATCCCACCCAAGGTCTCCATACACCTTCACCTCTGTGTTGCTCAGTTTTGACAGGAGCTTCCCTAGAGGAGGTGCAGAGGACACTGGCTGTCATTAGCCCATTGGCAGCCTGCAAGGGCAGCCTCCATTGGGAGAATGGGCAGACTGATTTAATAAATAGCTTTCTTTCCTGTCGGGAAAGTCTGTCTTCTTTTTAATACGATAATGTGACAAGGTCATTAAATTATTTTTTGCTTAGCCTCTATAATTAGGGAATTGATTTAGTGATGTTACTTGGATCCCAGATGTATATGCAACTCTCAGAACAACATTGGTTAGTAGCTACTGTAAATTTGGGGAATACAGCTGTAACCTCAAATACCTGGAGAACCCTAAGGGTTGAACAGCCTTGAAGACTGTAAGTGGTCCTTGGTCTCCCATGTGGGAGTTTCATTGCTGCTGGAGGCTGCTGGTGAGTACTGGAGACAACTGTTCTATTTGTGTGCTGCACTTGTGAGCATATTTGTTAAAGGAGCAGTCAGCTGTTAGAACTGCTGTATCATCAGCTGATCTGCTGATAAGGCAACAGCAATGTGTTGGCAGTGGCAGGCTTGCGCTCATCTCAGGATGTTCTCTTCCCCTTTTTGGATGATTGCTGTAATCCAGCTGCCCCTCTAAACACCCTGCAGTACTTGCTATGTTGAGGATGCCTCTGATTTTGCAGCAGCTAGTATCAAAAAAGGGAGGGAATGCCCACCATTTGCACCAGTCTCTGTTGCAAGAGTAACGTGGCTTTGTCTTGTCCTGGTGGATGGCATCAGGTGGAAGGAAGTAGAAAATAAGGTACTTGTAGCTGAGTTTGTTCCCAAGCTGGTGGTGAAACCAGGTCTAGCAACCCTGTTTCGCAAGGATACTCTGAACTCCCTCCTCCCTTCGGTACAAATACCACGTGCTG